CCTGGACTGAGCATCTTCACAGACAACGCTGTCAGAGGTTGTCATCCATCCACCGAGAATTTATTTGCTCATCCTGCTGCTGCTAAGCCCAACACAACACGGTTCTGATTGAATGTTATTACCTGGCTGTTGATAAAGATTGTAATATTAATTTGGAGTCTAATCATGCGTCAATATTTTACTGGAAGTTTATGTATTCCTTTCAGAATACATAATGGCCCCTGGGAACTTAAACTGTATAGAGCCATAAAAGCAGTCTTCTGTAGGCTAAAACATTATGCATGCAAATGTCATTTTCATCCATTTTGCCTATTCTGTTTAGCCTGTGTGTGGTTCGTGCTGTTGTATTTCAGGACTATCTAGCAGATGGTCTGATGGTCAGATAAGGCGATTCTGCATCTTAATGTATGCTAGTATTATGCAATTAACACACCACACATCTCCTTTGGTTTACAAGAGCAACAACTCCTCCGAATGATTTTAACTAATGAAATAATCATTTTCACTATGGCAGCCACCCAAGATTACCTGAAGCTGTCACAAAAAACAACAACCAAAAAAAAAGCTTATTTATAATAATAAGTACAAAGAGCAAGTCAATGCTCTGCACTGTGCTGGAATATGACTCACTTTTAGAGTCAACTCTTACAGAGTTTGCTCCATCTGCTGGCCAAAGAGCAGTAGTACAACTTTTTTCTCTTGTGTTTAAGATGCATGAAAATGCAAAGATATATTATAAAGATCACAAACCTACAATAAACCTGTTTATCAAAAAAGGTTTTCCCAAAATGTAATGAACTAGCTTTCTCTCTCTCTCTCACTTCCACCACCAATACTACCTTCTATGAAGAGACATACTTACACATAGTCACCACATACACACCACATCTACCCCTGTGCTGGAACATGGAGCAGAAACACGGCCAGGTTACATGTTCACAATGTACTGTATCAAGGCTGTTTTGGTGTAGCCCTCTGGCCCATCTGGCAGCCTTGGTGCAGTCAGCTGTGCAGCCAGCTTAATTTTCTATCTAAATCACACAATTACACAGAGGCCTTGTGGATGCAGGCTGCCAGAATTAGGCTGTCAAACAAATTTGGAACAAGTCCTAAGAAATATGCTATGGAGATTTTAATTGAACATCAGAGCACTAAGACTTTGTTCAGAAATCCTACTACCAGGAAAACCACAACCAAATCCAAAAAGCTAATGCTAATATGATGATAAGCCCTACTACCACCCACATAAGCGGACATCATCAGATAACATAATAATGTTTTTACAGATCAGAATTCACTTGTAATCATGAACACGTCAATTTTTTGCCAAGCTGGAATCAAGCCAAGACTGATGTAATCGGTGAAACAGATCCTGACACATCCCTGAGATGTGGCCCTAACAGGAGGGACTCTTGTTGACACAGACGTGTTCCCTCTCAGAGTGGACTTTCACTAGACCATATTCACTGATTATGTCCACAAACTGAACCTTTCCAGGAAACAACTTTTCCCTCCCAATGCACTTTTATTAGACAAACCATTTAGGTCACCTAGTAAAAAGCAAATGAAACATGTTCGTGATTGTTTAAAAATGCCAAAAGGCCATGGGATGGGAAAACAATCTGACTCTCATGTCTGTCACTGAGTTACTTTCAATGGTGTTATCACCCTCTGCTTACTTAGTCATAAATCTTAGAATTCATCAATGCTTAGTGCGCCCACATCTGTGTTTAACCCTGACTCCACATCTACATGTTGCAGCTTGCCTCTAGGAGACATGGCCTCAGATCTTGTTCAGCAAGTTCTGTGAGTTTAAAATAAGGGGAGAGTGAAAAAAAGAGTGGAGAGAAAAACAGCCCACAGCACTCTGTATGAGCTCTAGTCTCCCAGCAGTGTAGAACAGATGTTACAGTTGGCTGCTACTTTCATTTTCACTTAATCTGCAACTGAAATTCCTGTAAGGAACACAAATACCCCCCCACCCCCACCCCCTCTTTTAGATATAACCATTAAGCCACCTTTTTAAATCTACTGCTATATCTTGATAAGGGCCTTGCATCACTTGAGCAATATTCTGTGGTTCATGAGGGCTTTGTTGTTGATTGGTCAGAGCAGCGAGGTGTGACTCAGCCAAACTGAAAAGTCCCTACAAACAAAGGAGCAACCAGACACCTCATCTGACAAGAAAGAAGTCTGGCAATCTTTGAGACACTGTGATAGCAAGAAGTCTTTTTAGCTGAAATATATACTGAGATCAGTATTGTACTGCATTGTACAGTAATCTGTCATACACATCTAATGTTGTGTGTAATAGAGGCATCCTATTGAATGCCATGCACTATAAAGGTAATTTAGTTAATTAGGTTGCCACTGCTGACGTATTTTAGATTGTCCATCTCATTATTGCTCCGCCTACATAATGTTATGTAGACAGTGACAAGAGAAGTATCCAAATCTTGGTAAGATTTTACTTTAAGCACACACATGTCAACAATTATAGCTTCTCCTATGGACATGACGTGTTTATTATTACAACTGAGTTTTACTCTAATATCATGAGAAATCTGTTTGCCCCCTACAAGTAAACATCTTTTATTTGAAATTTCACTTAAAAGTATTTTAATGCAGTTGTGTATTTACAAATACATTTTGTTTGCTACACTAGTCATATATTTTGTATTTGTGTCTACAAAGTGACAAATTATATGTTGAATGTGGAGGAAAACTTGCAGGCCTATGCTTTATTGTAGATGTAGATTAAACTCACTTCTTACACCTGATCCCACACGCTATTTTAATTATTGTGGCCACTAACCCGTAGGCAGCAGACTGTGCAAAGGCCTGCGCATTTCAGCTTGACATGGTGGACAGCTAACAACCTAATGTCTGAGGCAAGAAGGAGCACACGGTGGACTGCTCCTCAGCCTAATGGAGTCTGGGCCCTTGGCTGGTCTCCTTCTCTCAAGGCCTTATGACTAATATGATGATAGGGTCTGACTTCATCCATCATTCGTCAAGGTGTGATGAGCAGGTTGAATTTTGAAGAGAAATGGACATTAAGAAAAGGAAGTGACTTATATATTGACCCCGCCCCACAGGGGAAGCTTAAATTATTGTTAAATAAAATGTAAAAGAAAGAAGTACAAATACTGGAAAGCAGTTGACATGTCACTAATGAATAACATTTTTGAGTGGTGAATCATTATTGAAGATCACTTGTGGGCCTCAGTGCTTATTTAGTACATAAAGATTTACAAAACAATAAAATCTTAAAATCATGTTTGCACATGGTACAAATGTATTTTATTCTGGTAAAAAATTGAAACAACTTTTGGATGTTGTGGAGAAAGAAATGAAACTTCCAAAGAGATTCCAACGAGTTTGATGATATGTTCTTTGAGAATCGTTTCTGATGGTGATTATAATAAATTGTGATGGAAACAGCTACAATTATACCAAACTCTACTGAAATACTGTAGAAAATTAAGGACTTTTTAAATCAAGCTCTATTATACACGTTGTATTGTTCACATACACTTCCATACATTGCTTAATGTGTAGTTGTATGCAGAAACAAAAAACACAAGTTAAAGTTTCATACTTCAAAAGAGTGCATTTGTACATTTACAGTATAAACAAAACAACTAATCAAGAATGAACCAAACTACTGTTTTAAATTGTAGGCATAAAATCAGAGACTTGGTAGATCTGAAGACAGCATAAGTCATATGAAAGGTCAATAATAAATTACTACCTGAAAGTATACAAAAGTTGTTTCTAATGGGAGAAGAGGAATGTGAATGTTTAAGAAACAAAGGGTCAGGAGGACTGATGATGATCTTTGTATTTGTATTTGATAAATGTATGGAACAGTAGTGGGGAAACTGAAATAGTGTGCCCCACTTGTAAGTTTAAAACATTTTTTGAAAATACTATTACGGACAAATAACTACCTATAATCAGAATGGCATGTTGGCATTGGTATAGCAGGAATAGTGTGAAATTTGTCTGATGTTACCATTGATGTTAAATAGGTTGTGTTTTGTAAAAAGGGTAGGCACTTTAAATTACACAGGAATAGAATATTAATAGAAGAGAAAAAAAAAAACTTACAACACTACAAGTTCCTGTATGACCAAACCTAACCTACCAGTCAATCAAACATAATAGCAGTCTTGTCAGGAGATAAGAGCTGAGATTAGGCAACAGCACATCCATTATCTTCCCCATAGCTGGAGCTGAGACACATTACCAGGCAACAGACAGGATGGCGTGCTGTGTACACAAAACAGAGGCCTCAGATTACACACATTTCAGCAGTCATTTTCTGGCTCTCCGCAAACACGAGCTATAAAAACAGGACAATTACAAGCACCAGCCACCCGCATTCAGTTCCTTGGATTACGAAAACCAGAGCCCTTGAGGCGTCAGGAACGGAATGTTGGTTTTAGTCAGTGATGAAAAGCTGAAGTGGTCTAAGGAATTAGCCAACAGGCTGGAATTGTAGGTAGAACATCAGCGCCCCTTCCCACTCATCCATCATCCTACAGCCTGTGATCCCCCTCAGGGGCAGTTCCCATGGTCGGTGCCAACCTGAGCATGCTCTGTGGGGTCTGGAGCAGAGACATAATAATAATACAACTACAGGTGAGACTGCAGATGCAGACATGCAAACTCTGGCAGATCAATGGGCTGATAATTCCTGCACACGTGCAGGTGGAGTAACTTTCTGGGCACGCTGACAGACCTTAAAATTGGTTTTCATTAATGATACAATAAAACATTGTAAACCCTTTTTTTTTTTACCTTGTGAGAAAATATACAATAGATCTCAAGATCCATTCTTAATAATGTATGAAACTGAAACAAACTAGCATTTAATTTTTTTTTTTCTTGTCCCTTTGGACAGTAGCTCAAAATATCCTTCTTGTGTGTCTCCAGATACATTTTTAGGTTATACATGTGAGGGGGGGGGGAGCAACAAGGTCAAACAAAACAACTGGTTTAAAATTGTTTTAATGGATGATGATGCACTGATATGTAACATGTACAGAACACTGAAGGTCAAAGTTCTTTAAACATGCATTGGCCTGTGACCAAAGTTTGTGCTCTATAGAACATAATTTACAGGCATACCAGCTGCAGTACGGTAAAGTGAAAGGTCACGGGTTTCCTAGTCCTTTTCTGCCACACAGTACGTGCTTGTTAGGTTGTTTAGTAAAAATTTGCTTGTTAAGTACAAAAGTAAACAAAGTCTAAATTCAAAACACAACAGAGTATTTATACTTTCTATTTACAGTGTACATATTTACACCACAGCTTTGACGACCATTAATACCTACCTACAGTGCTGAAAGGGCAAACACTCTCTTAAGTTCGAAATGACCCCCCTCCCCTCATACTGTGAGGCACCAGTAGAGTATAAAAAAATGACAATGAAGACGGTTTTGTACAGTTTTGGCAGTGTCTTTGCTCTTGTTAGCAGGGGGCTGAGGCACACTCTGAGCTGCTGCTGGATTGTTCACAGTCTTTGTCAAGGTGCTCCGTCAATTTTAGAATGACGACTTTCCTCTGGAGCTGCTGAGTCTCCGGTGGTGCGGGTTGTTCGGCTACTGGTTGCACAGAGCTCTCAGTAACCAAGTCTTGGCATTCCTGTGGCAGCAGCATAGTGATGATGTTCGAGTGTCTGCCCTGCACTGCCAGGTGTAACGGGCTGAGCCCCTGCTCGTCTGACAGAGTGCCACCATCTGGACAGTGAAGGAGCAGCTCTTTCAGGACCTGACAGTGTCCGTTCTCTGCTGCCAGGTGGCAGGGTGTGCGTAGGGCCTGGTTGGTTCTGTAAGGGTCTGCCCCCTCTTCTATCAACATCTTGACTGTGGCCAGGTGGCCTCGCTGAGAGGCTAGGTGGAGGGGAGTGAGTCCGTGGGTGTTCTGGGCGTGGATATCCGCCTTGTGTTTGATCAAGAGGCGTGAGGTGCTGGTGTGACCCGTCTCTGCCGCCACGTGCAGGGCTGTGTTAAACCCAGCAGACGTCATGTGAACATCTGCTCCAAGTTCAATCAGGATCCGTGCCACGCGGTACTGCCCCCTCTGGGATGCCAGATGCAGAGGCGTGCGGCCGTCTGTCGTTTGCCCGTCCACGTCGGCACCGGCCTGCTTGACCAGCAGCTTGACGATGCCCAGGTGCCCTTGCCAGGCAGCCAAGTGGAGCGCCGTCCAATTGTCCTTACACCTGATTCGAACATCAGCACCACGGCTCAGCAGCACTCGGATTACATTCTCTTGGCCGTGCTGGCATGCGACATGAGCTGGCGTGCGTCCCTGGCCATCGGTCTCGTTGATGGCCGCGGCCCGGTCTAGCAGCAGGCGCGTGATGGCCTCGTCCCCGTTCTGGGCAGCCCAGTGCAAAGCTGTGTACTGGTCCTCGTCCTTGGCATTGACGTTGGTGCTGCGCCGACCAAGCAGAAGTTCTGCCAGGGGCTTCAGGTGCTTCTCTGTGGCCAGGTGCAGGGGTGTAGAGCCACGGGCATTCGCGAGGTTGGGATTGGCATTGTTCAAGAGAAGGAACTTGACAGCCTCTTCATTGGCCGAGGTGATGGCGTGGTGGAGCAGACTGTCTCCTCCGTCCAGGAGAAGGTCGACATCCTGAGGCTGGAGGATCTTCATGAGCTTAGCAGTGTCTTTGGTCCTGATGGCCTCGCACAGCTTCCGCCTCTGGACCTCAGCAGAATCTGGGCAGGAAGGAAGAAAAGGGATGGGTTTGAGGCGAAATTCAAAAGTCCATCTAAACTGCTACATTTCCACTGATTAGCTGGGATTGTTTCTTTTCCGTGAATTCAGGTAATCATGAGCATATAGGACTTTTAGGTCAACTGGAATAACAGTTACAGTTGTAGGTGTTTCATCAGCTCTTACCACATGCGTTTTCTTTCTCAAAAGACAGCGAGATCGAGTCTTGGGAAGAGAAGGCGGAATCAGCCGAGGAGATGCCGGACAGTCTCTTGCAAGGGTTCTCTTTGCTGTAGCTGCTTTCCTCCTTCACTCGATCAAAGCTCCTAGAGATCCCAGAATCCACCTGGCTCAACAGCTCTGACAGGCTGTAATCCTTTTCCGGCAACATGGCTGACTTTGGACGCACCGGTATGTTGTCTTTAATCTGTAGAGCAAACAGCCAGATTAGCATATTTGGACAAGCTGGTCTCTGGCGCTCACATTCCATTACATTTATACTCCGGTATGTAGCTGCTGCCCTTATCCAACACCATTTACAGTACAATGGCTACTGAATGTTGACATTGTGACAATTTGCTGAACTTGAGTTTGATCTAAAATCCCTTGATTACACAAGTTCAACACCTTATCTTCTGTCCCTACAGACAGATATGACACAGTTCAGATATCAGCAGCTGTCGCCTCTCATGAGCAGTTCTTTTAGTCACGTACACAACAGCAAACACGGCGGAAATGACAAACAGCACACAGGTTAAACATTCCCATCAGTCAACATTCCTCTTCGGTGATGCAACTGTTGTTCAGGATAAAACATTTACACAACATATGACTTTAAAAGTCATCATCATGTCTGGAGCACTTTGGAGATAATTGTCTGGGCGGATCGTTACACATTAATGGAAATACAAACAGCTATAAAGAAGTTTTCAGAATTAAGCAACATGATATAAGGGGGTAATGACCGTTGTTTTAAAAACTTAAGAGGTTCACATGATTCACTATGTTAAAAAATCATATCTGTATCTTTATGAAACATAGGTCTGGTTCATCCAAATGCAGTTAATATGGTGTTGTCATGTCGTACCTGGTCACTAGTGAGTGTGTTCGGGGACGTGGGCTCTGGCTCTGACGTTGATAAGGTTGGAGTCTTGGGCTCCTCTTGAGGTTTAGAGCAGAGCTCCTCAGCTTCAGATGTGATTTCTGTAAGGACAACGTCTCAAGGTCAGGTTTCATTAACATCAAGGATGAGATTGTGAAATACAAAAAGGGGAGAAAAAGCAACACTAAAAGCAGGAGAGAAAAACCTCAATCTAACAGACTGCAGGACTTTCTAAGTCTGTGTTAGGAATAGGGTCACTTGTGTTCCATGTTGATTTTATATGTTATCATGAAAAAGGTTGACATTTTATTTGTAATAGAAGTGCACAAGTTACCCTGGAAGCTGGGTCTGGCATCAGGGTTTGTGGTCCAGCAGTGCTGCATGAGGCTCAGGAACCCTGTGCAGGCTGAAGGTCGACAGCGTGGCACTGCACCCAGGTCTGGGCGCACCCCCTTCACCACCTTCACCATGATCTGAAGAATGTTACTCTCTCCTAGGGAGGAAACAATAAGATACTTCAGATTTATCTCTAACAAATCAGGTTTTACACACATATTTGTGGGGCACATAAATCTGATCTGAAGCCTTGTTTTCTGACGTTTGAAGACAAATACAAATAACTTGATGATGTAACATGCTGCGGTACATGAGAACATAACCTAAGGTGCTGGAAGGAGCCAGTGCCTACAGATATAGCCAGTTATGCCCAGCTTCATCACCATCTTCCCCTGTGCTCTGATAAGGGAGTGTGTGCTGTTCTTTCATATGGGAGCAAAATGGAAAAGCTCTAAACAGATCCTGGTCTGGCCTTTTTCTCTGTGGGATCAGCCCAGTCTGTGATTCAGAGCAAACAGGTAGAGGCCTTAATCACAGGTACTTCACCCCCTATTGTAGCCTTAATACCCTTTGCAGGTGGAGGAGGGCGACGGGAAGGGATGGTAACCAGGGCATTTCTCACTTTTTCATTATGTCTGGATCAACATAGGCGGTGCCAGAGCCAACTTGGAAACCCTCATATAAACACTGGTCTTCATAAAGAGCCAGATTTATGAAGTGAACTGCTACGTGATAGGCCTGGGAAGAAAAAAAACCCACTCCGCTTGCCAGTCTAGCCCTGTCCAACTGCCTGCTCTGGAATTCACCGAGTAAACACATACACTACAGCACCTGTACACCCACACACATACACACAAACACACACACGCCCTGAAATGTGTAACCTAAAGTGTTCACCTAGGGTTGTGTCTTTACTGGGAAATGTAAATGCCTGCAAGGGAAGTGTTAAAAATAGACGAAAAGTTAAGAGGAATAAAAATAAATATTCAGGTCAAATTTAATCAGGCCGGGTGTTATTTTTATTAATGGTATGGCAATGTCTGTCAGTCAGTCCACCAAGACTGAGATATTTCAGAAACTACTGGAAGGGTTGCCATGACATTTTGTACAGACATTCATATTCTCCAGAGGACGAATCCTACTCACTTTGGTGATCCCCTCTGACTTGATGTGATTAAGCTTGAGCACCACCACATTTGGTACAAACATTCATGTTCTCTTCCGGACAAACTGTCGTAACTCTGACTTAACCCTTTACATCATTATCATCATTTTAAACTGTTAATTTGTCAAGTACTTTGGTCCACGACCGAATACCAGCAAAACTAACGCCATTCACATCAACCTTCAGGTGTACTCTATGTTTAGTGCCAATTAGCAAATGCTAGCATGCTAATACGCTAAATTAACATGGCGACTGTGGTAAACATTATAACTGTTAAATATCACCATGTTATGATACCATAATAAGCAAGAATCATACTTAATAACATACAATTCATTAATTTTCTTGGCAGGAATGGCTTCATTGGTGTCTTGTATTCATCGTACTACAAGTCTCACCTTGGTAGGGCTTCTTCTGCGTGAGAATCCCCCAGATGACAATGGAGAAACTGGAATAGAGGCAACATGAAATATAAAAGGTGTCAGTACAAGGAAAATGTCAAACATGATACATGTTTTCTATTTCAAGCTGAAATTGCTTATTGTTTAAATCGTCCCCTACCACACTGTTACTGTATAAACCAGTGCTGTCAGATTGTAAAAAATTATTCTGTGGAAAGTGCTAGCAAATCCATGTCCTACATTTGAACAATTACACATACTGATGTGAGTCAGACCTTGACTGAACATGCAAACGTAGGTGAAAGGTAGACAGACAGCAAAAAACAAAAACCTACAGTTACATAAAAAGGTTGCATGCAGACTGCTATAAAACTATCCAACCTGTATACGTCATGCTTGGTGTCCGGCACTCTGTCCTTCTCAATGATGCTCTCAGGTGGCAGGTAGGCTATAGTGCCACAGAAGCCGTCTCTACTGATGTCATCAGCCCGTGACAGGCCGTTCCATCGGGCCAGGCCAAAATCTGATATCTGAAATGGGGAGAGATCTGATAAGACCCTCAAACAGAGCAACCACCGCCTTTCTCATGAAGCACCGTGGCCTTGATGACTAACTTTGCCCGCTGAGTGTCACAGGCTGCTAAGCTCTTATTATGTACTCAGTGGTATGATGAGGGCAATGCAGCCATGTCCCAGCCTGTAGGAGAGGAGAGGCCCTTCACGTTTGTGTTGAATAGTGCACACCCACACTCTTTCATGCACGCACACAGACACACACACACATTCACAGAGGGAGATTTAACAGGAGATGAATTAATCCTGTTGGGACAGGCCCGGGTGAGGTGTTTACATCCAGGTATTAAACTCCAGAAATGACAGTTCCCACCCATTGCTCTCAGTGCAGTTGAGCTGTTCAGATGTTGGACAGAGGCTGAGAGACACCTGTCTGCCCAGAGCGTGTGCAGGGCTGTCATTTTTAAAAGGATGAAAAGGAACTGCAAAGCACTTAACAGCTGAAATTGCTTCTAAAACCGTAAAACTCTGACATTTAACCAGCTTTGATGCCATGATGGCTGTGACTTGACCTCATGGCTTAACAGCAACACAAGAATTCAATCATTACACTTCAAAAGGGGAGTAATAATATATGAGCCATGTCTAATAATACAATTAAGATGATGGATTTTTCCCAATCATTAATTCGTTTACATATTGTTACTGCCATAGAAAAACAGCTGTTCTGATAACAGCCAGAATATATACATAATAGTTATCAATATAACTAAATATTGGCAACACAACAAAACCATTTAGGCCATATTTTAGAAAAGATATGTACACACTACCAGCTGAATATCACAACTTTTTAATGTTTTCATGCAGGCTAAAGAATGGCCTTAAGAGGCACTAAGGATGAGACAGACTCCCTACCTTGACATGATAGTGAGCATCCAGCAGGATGTTGGCCGGCTTCAGGTCCAGGTGGAGCAGCGGTGGGTTCATGCAGTGCAGGAAGTTCATTCCCACCGCAGTCTCGTGGATGATGCGGAAGCGGAGCTCCCAGGGCAGCGGCTCGGTGGCCAGCAGGGTCTCCAGGGATCCGGTCTCCATGTACTCCATGACGAGGCCCTGTGGGTCCTCACAGATCCCATACACTGGCAGGATGTATCGGAACTTGGCTGCCTCCATCTTCTTAGCCTCCTCGAGCAACTCTGACCGCTCCCTGTGATTTTAAAAAAACAGTTATGTTCAGTGGGTCAACAAACTGCAGACGAACCATTGGTTTTAAGGTATTTAAGTTAGCTTGTTTTTAACCAATCCTTCCACATCCATTGGCTCACAGACGTTTATCAACTATATCTTCTCATCAAACATTAACCTTGTGATTCTGGCGTCATACTTTGCTCATTGAGCTGTAATATTTGGCATAACTTTTGTCCTAACCCAAATTATCCCACATTACATGTCATCCTTACTGAGCTCACAGCTTTGCAAAATGTTTACTAGCATTAACCTTGAATATGTGACTTCTGAAAACATCTATAATTTATTTACCAGTGTTCATCCCGAGTATGTGGATTGTGCTCTTAACTGTCCGGGGGCTCTTTTAAAGCCTTGAGGACATTCTAGCTCAGCCTGGAATGCATCAGGAGAGCATTAAACAGAGCTCTTGTTCACTGTTGCTCAACCTTTGCACAGCTCCCTTTATCAGCCCACTGGCCCCACTGACATACCTCAAACCCAACTGTGCAGGTCATTCATGACCTCAGTGCACATATCTCCAGCAAAGGTTGCTTTAAAAATGCAAACTCTTAATGAGGACAGATGAGAGAAAGATAAATCACTAATGATTGTGTTCAAAGGAATGTGCTTCGAATGTAGAATTAGGTGAGCTGGACTGGGGCTTCACTATTAATAAAATGAAATTGGATGCACAGAAGAGACTCCTACAACTCTATTAGGTGCAAAGTGTATCAGGTTACTAGAAGAGTCATGTTCCATAGGCTTGGCTATAATTGTCCTTTATAGTCAGTCCAAGTAAAGGAGGCACAAGCCCCAAATCTGCCTGGCAGGAATAATCAAACATAATATGGGAGAATGAGCATGCACTTGTTCGCTAAATCCTTAATCTAATCCAAAGTGCTCCTCAGCAGCTCTTTAGAACCAAACAGTATCCCTGCTTTAACAGAGAGGCCCGGTAAGACCGGTTTTACAGCTTCTTGTATTGTCTGTACCACACGGCAGCAGCCTGCAGACAGACAAAGGTGGCTTTGAGTTCCTATTGCTTTATGTTATGTGTGGGTCAATGAAGGCTGCAATCTAATGACTGTTTATGTACTCTACAGATGTTTGGAGATGATAACATCTTTGGCTCAGGTTCAGCGGATGCTTTATGTTGCACCACAGGTTCGGAGAGGATGTTAGTCCCCTTTTTTTGGTGGCAATGTTGAAACAGCCGCTTCCTGTTTGTTAGTTATCTGTCTGAAATGTTAACATCATAATCATAATCTGATATCAGACAATCCAAAGAACAAGAACAAGAAAATAGTCAGCTGAGTGATCAAATGAGGAAAACATATTTAGATAGCTGGGGCTTAACCTCAATGTCATTTTGAAAGGACAGCTGCAACTCGGTCAGGTACTTAATGTCAATTTGTTGAATCACTTCATGAGCAGTGATTTATTTGTCCACACATTAAAACATGAAAAAAGGTTCTTGTGAGGTAATATTTATAATTTGTCTGAAGCCCACAGATGAACCCAGTGTGTGTATACACAGCTGAGAAGAATGGAAACTTCCATTGAGGGGCGGGTTGCTGTGCTGCTGAGGGGGTTGTCCTTCAATGAAGGCTCTCATAGAACTTGACATTGGTCACCCACACAGCAGGACAGCTGACACACACACACACACACACACACACACACACACACACATTAAAAATTAACATTAAAAAATCCATTTTTCTTTCTTTTGAGATCCATGCAGAGCAAAGCTTCATGGTTATGCAAAATGTTACAGAGTTCAAGAGGGTTGAGTAATGTCTAGTGCCTGGGGGAATGCCTGCCTCACTGAAATGTACATTTATTAAAACCAGACCCTCGCTGAGGCCAATAGATTAAAACGTCGCTGTTGATTGGGGATATCAGCAATGAACCTTTCATGTTAGGGTCTGGTTAGAATTAGTAAGCGGCTATGGCCCTGAGCAATGTGGACTTGGCTTTACCTGGGGTATGAATTAGCATGTCAGTGGTCATTACAACACAACTTTACGGTGTCTAGATATCTAAAAGTGCCCTCGTGTTTGCTGCAGAGCCACTTTTACAGCTGCAGTGTGTGCCCAGACTGGCAGTGAGTGAGTCACACACAATTCCTGGTGTTCCACTATTCAAGGAACACAGTGGAATGAATTTTCACCAGCACAGTAATGATCTAAGCCTCTGTCTGTCTGCTGTTTAGTCATAAACTGGTGATCAAATGCTAAGCTTAAGACACAGGAGCTGGCTGAAGACAAGACAGATCTGTCCATCTGGCACTCAGAAGGACCAAATACAGAAGTAAAGAAATATCTAAACTATGTCGGAGCTTCACCAAGAGCATGTTGAGCTAAATTCTTTTACACTACTACATGTAATTTTACACATACATTAGCTCAAAGACAATCCATCATAACCTGTAACTTACTTGTCATCCACATGAAGGCAGGGAGGGCACTTGATAGCCAGCCATGTTTTCCACTGTACGTGCCGGACTTTGTATACTTGTCCAAATCCACCTGAGCCTATTTGCTCCCAGCTGCCAAACTCAGAGCAATCAAATGTCCTTAACAGCCCCATATTCCCATGTGGAGAATCCGGGACATCCATATCCGTGTTGAGAACCCCACCAGCTGGGTAAACTCCTTTTTTATTCTTCACCAAGGCGCAATCCAGGCGAGTGAACATACACAACACACCGACCTGCCCGCTTGTGAGCTCTTTCCTTGTTGTTCCCCTTGTCAAGCTCAGAAAATGCCCCTCCCTCTCTTCAGGTGAAAAAGAGGGGTTGGGCCTGGTGCTGTGACATCACTTCCTGGTTTGGAGACAGGCAAGAAGGCACCATGCTGCCACAGCGTCTTTAGACAGTGGTTTTCCAGATGCCCTAAAGTCCCACGCGTTCTCATATTTCTGCCATGGAAATGAGAGAATAACCTTTGTCCCACTGTAAAAAAAAAGAAGAAAGAAAAGGGGAATAGGCAGGTTATGTGATATTAATCAGATGGTTTGGGAATGTGTGAACCCATCCAACAGAGGGGATCAGCACATGCTTTCATAGCTGTGGATTGTCAGTATATAAAATCTGCCGGTGTCACAACTGTGTGAAACAGTCGTCCTGTGTGGAGCTGATATGAAAGTGTTTTGCTCAAGGACACTCAGAAGTCTTGAACCTGCGTCCTCTGGTGGGAGGCTCTAAATGATTTACTTTTCACTTATCATCAAACAAGGATGTACTGGAGGTTAAATCAGCCTTATCTCAAGTTGTTGACGTAAACACAATGATGCAAACTCCTAGAATACTGTACATTAAACAATTATATGAAATGATGCATGACTGCATTAATCTACAAAGTTGACTATTTAAAACAGTTTCCTTGAGTTCCTGAATGTAAGACATCAGATTTAAATTACTTATGCCTTAGAGGTTTTGGCTCAAAAAAAAAAAAAATGTCATGACAAAAAGTTAAGACCCGTTTTGAGCTCCCAAAAAGCTTCCCTCTGGCCCTCTCTTCCCCCCTAACCATTTCCGTACAGTTCCTCAAGGATCTCTTTGATTTTTGGGCTATGTGATGGCTGTTTTAATTTTCCGCTTTTTGTTTCGGGGCCTGGATTCCTAATTTTAATGTAGTTTTACCTGCATGTCAATATATAATGTTTGAAAATAGAAAACTGTATTAAATGTATCTATAAGCAAATAATGGCTTTTGGGGCCCCCCTCTTGCCCTCTGTGTAATCCAGGCACAAGAGAGGACAAAATGCTATTTAATGCATCTCTAAAAACAGTTATTCTGTATTGTTGTTTGCTTTGTAGTGAAAATACCACCACTTTATTTATCTCCACCTAACAGGCATAACTCATGATGTCACTAGATCACCCTGCTCCACCCTGCTCTCCGGATTTATTTAGGAAACTGGAAGGACGAGCTATATAAATCTGTCATCAGAGAGGCTATTGAGACAATAAGCAGATTTTATTGGTCCGTGAGGAACAAAGCCTCATTTCAGGCTGGCAGCTCATATGATCAGCGTATGTCCCCTGAGGCTGCTGCTTTGCAGACACACAGAAGCATTAACATATGCAGAGAGTTGGTCGGTGGTGTGATTGAGAGCCCTTTGAGATGTTAGTCCACCCCTTGTGTAAAGTGTAAATGTATTCTCTGGGGCAACGTCGCACCTCCCAACCATTACAGTGAAAGAGGAACTCTTTTTTCATGTGCTAATTAAATCAGTCCTTTGCATCTGCTTTACTGCTCTGATTAAAAACAAGAATATAAATCAGGTCCGTTCACTTTTCCCCACTGTGAGAAAAATGGCTCCTTTTGAGCTCCTCTTTAGTGGTCTGAAAGAACCAGTGAGCAAAATGTGGAGATTTGTGACTAAATTCATGTTGGAATTAACATCAATATGTGAATGTTCAGTTGGTGTGGTACGGTATTACTGATTTCTTGCACTACTGATACTGTGCTTCAAATTTGGTGAAAGGTCTTCTTTATGAAGGCTCTTTGCACCACATGTTGGAAATCTTGTTTTGCAGAACTGTTTGTTGGTCTCAGTAGGAAAACAAGTTTGGTAATAGTAAATATAAAAACATACATTTTTCCCCTGTGTGTGAGAAACAGGCTTTATCGCCCTCTACTGGAAGTTTCATATTAAAGCATTTAGCTCTGTCATATGAGTGGTCGAACAGCGTCAAAGACATATATGTATTTATAAAAAGATATGCAGAAATGCTAATTTGACATTGTAAATTTCAGGGAAATAGGGAAATGTTACAGAATCTGGCACTGGTGAAAGTATAGCAAATGTTGTTTTTTCCCCTGTAAAGGTCAGTGCTGGGTTACAATAGCTCAGCTGTGTTTGAACTATCCAACATTAAACAGTAGTCCCAGATATGGAAAGTATGAAGTCCATGACTGAGCGGTGGTGTGCTCATACTACAGGTTTATGATTAAGTGAAATATTCTGTTGCAGATTACTCACCATATTGATAGTTTCAGTGTGAAGTTTGATGTAGTAAACATGTTCGCATAAAACATTGTCACTCCACAATTACATGTATATATCTATTTTTGTTGCTTCAACACAATCACTTCATTTCTAATGTTTTGATGTATGTCTGTTCAGCTTTCACCCTGTCTCTCCATTCCCCATAATTTATTAATTATTATATATTATTAATTTATACTTAATTATGAGAATATTGTATAATGGTAATATAAGTATTTGTATTGTTAAACTTTCTTAACTTCACATAAACTTCACACAAAAATCCGTTGAACTGTTCAGGCTGGTGTTAACTGATATTCATACTACACATAACAAGAATTAATATCAAACCTATGCATTTGATTGGAAATACGTTTTTGAACCTTTTCATTTTATGTAAAGGGCCAGCTCTGGGCCTGAGGCCATCTAAAGGTTTGTTTTGTGAGAGAACCAAGCATAAATATTTTATTGCCATGGGAACAAAACCACCCCTAATACGGATTTAAAAAAAGAACACGTTGGTTGTTTTGTGTGTTCCATTATTAAAGTATGAAGTTATGGTTTGAGATAACAGAATTTGAGGATAAAGTGGTGAATGTTATTTCAAACAAATCTCCTTGTTTCTTCAAAAAAAACAAAAAAACAAACAAACATTGCTTTCTGGACAGCTGTTTGTGTTTTCACAAAATCTTTGTGAAAAAAGAGAAGATTCATTTTTGTCTGTCTGGATCTTTTAAATGCAATACCTGGTCTTTCTCTAGATAACAGAAAATGTAGAATACTAATTAAGATTTTCTTCTTATTTTGCAAAGAAATGTATTTTGTTATCTTGCAAGGAAAAAGCAGAACTGTGGGTATAAGTTTGGGATCGTTTGCTATCATATTAGGTCACAGATGCGAGGATTTGTTGATTTATCTTAATCTGGATGCTGATTTGGCCCTGCGATGGACTGGCGACCTGTCCAGGGTGTACCCCGCCTTTCGCCCGATGTCAGCTGGGATTGGCTCCAACCCCCTGTACGCAGGATAAGCGGTTGACGATGGATGGATGGATGCTGATTTGATAAGCAGATTTTGTTATAAGGAGCAGAGTCGTTTTTTTCTTTTAAGTATTTGTACTTGTACTGTAATGGGTCAATTTAACAAATCTTTCCTAATTTGCTCATTGTTGGCATGGATTGGAAGTTTTAAGTTGTATGTTCCGATGCTGTGATCCGTTTTAATTTTGTATCTCTGGAGAACATGCAATATTCATTAACTAATTGTTTATGTGGATTCCCCATCACCGATTCCTGTGTTTTAAACTAATACTTACAATGGCAGTACACGCACACACATTTATGTCCTTTGACTGATTATGTGTGTTACACTCACATTGTTTCCAGAAAAGCCATCAGCTTCTGGAGGACTGACTGGAGGACAAACAGGGTCGCTGGTCTGAGACCTGAGGAGATCCTGGACTGTCACAATGCTATAAAACAGACTGAGACAGAAACAGAAGCAGGTTTGATTCAGACGCCATTTGCACCACGATTTAGAAATACCTTGCTGCTGAAACGTGCCTCCCTTCTGGGCAATTATCACAGTTGAGCACACAAACAAAATGTATATGAAGACAAAAAGTACAACCATTTCAAAGAGGTATTGTGTTTAAAAATAACAGTACAAAAACTCCAGTATTTCTTCCCCCCCCAGATAGTCCAACAATAATTACAGTTTACAGCATTCAAAAATAACATTTCAGGAGTGAGCCAACCATTACTTATCACATAACCTGGCAGAAGTGCTTTCTCTTAAAACTGCAGACTGCACCGAATAGGTCTTCTTTTTCAGGTTGGTACATTTTCATATTACATTTGGCCAGTGCCATTTATCTTGAAAACATGCATGTTTTTAAAAGGCTGGTAAGGCATTTGAATATTCAACATTGCTTTGGTTTGAAATGTAAATCTTCCAGAGGAGTGTCAGTGATTTTGGCTAAATGTACCATTTTGCTTTTCTTTTTAAATATTATGGTAAAAATGAACAGCTACTTTGCTTTGTCCGTATAAAAAAAGAAAAATCATTACAATTTCATTCACTTCCATTGGGCTGGAGAGGCATCTGGGTGATCAAAGCTTTGTACAGCTTGATAAAATCTACTCTAATATATAACAATGTGAGGTGACCAGCACCTCCAGTCTCTGCTCTAGTAGCTGAACATCTGCTGTCCGGAGCTGCTCTGCTGCTGCGGCGTGGGCGGCTGGCTCTGGTTGGGCCGGCCTGGCTCGGGGCCTTGATTCTGGGCCTCCTGACTCTCCCCCTGAGCCCCCTCCGCCATGGCGGTGACCTGGCTTGCCTCAGCTGCCGGTACAGGCCTCCAAGCCAGAGTCGGGGCCTCCAGCTGGTGGCCCATGGGGTTGACCAGAGTGGTGACGTTGATGAAGTGGGCGACTGACTGGGGCGCTGCGCCTCCGCCAGGGCCCACCGTCTCTGGGACGAGTTCGGCTGGCCGGTTGTGGAGCATGGCGGAGCCGCTGACGGTGTCGAAGGTGACGGTGAGGATGGAGTTGTCCAGGGTGAGTGGCCGGTCGCTGGCTGTCAGGTGGCCCACGGCTACGGGCTGCAGGCTGGTGAACTGGGCGGGGGCGTGGCTGGTGATGGGCGTGACGGTGATGTTGGTCAGTCCCACTGAGCTGTTGGGTGAGGAGACCGATGGAACGCTGGAGTCGGCCAAGACCACCACCTGAAACAGCAGCAGCAGGTCAATTAGAACAACAACATATATACACACAAACACTTCTGAGCAACAACATTTCCTTTCAGATATTTTTGAGTTTGGAAGCGGTGTGATGAACGTCACATACTGTCAATCATGACTTAATATGGGATGTAACCTATTCCTGAATTAATACTGACTGGTGAAAAAATACTTGACTTAGAACAATACTCCTTTCAGATATTAAAATGTTAATCAAAAGGCCCTACAGAGTGTGTTATTATTTACTGATCAATATTCAGATCCAATATATAACAACCCTTATAAAGTCATAATTGATGGATAACTGCTGATGTTATGACATTATCTGTCTATTGATGAGTTTTATTACTTTTTAATCCCATTTAGGTTTTTACATTTTACCAAAAATAAAAGCAAGCTCCTATTTATACAGAACGGTGATGGCATTATTCTACCACAGATGTACATCATTTGTTTTTGTTTTTTTATTCTGCTTGCCATCAGCAAGGTGTGGTCAGCTGCTGTCTCTGGGCATTTTTTATCCCCCTACCCATTTCTTGTGGTCTTAAAAAAATAAAAAATAAAAATAAACGACCTCTTATTATGACAATAAAAAAAACAACTTATGAAAATCTTCATATGTACCTGCTGGATACTCTGCACAGCTGAGCTCGTCTCGGTCTCCTCACCGACGATGACGGTGTTGAATTCCGCCATGGGCTCGTGCCTCGCCTCGGGGAAATCAACATATTCGTCGGACTCAGAAAGCTCCGGCTCAGCCTGAACTCTCTGCTTCTTCTTGGGGTGTCTGGAAGGTCGGCTCGGCCTCTCCGGATGCGCTGCGTCTTTTTCCAGAGACAAAGTGGGCTGAGGAGAACATATGGACAGCGACAGGGTACACTTTACATCTAGACTGTATTCATTTCGTCTTTCTGCAAACACAAGCATGTCACACAGGATGCGTGTAACACCAGGAGCAAAGTGAATCATGGTGATGCTAGGATAGATATTTAATGCAGAAACACTATGCAGTATGTAGATGTCTGATTCAGAGCTCACACTGTGAGTAAACAGGAACTCTTGATATTTTCACAGTGACAGTTCTACTATATTTAGTGTACAATCAAACGTGCTAAAAGGGCACCACAAGAAAGTATAGGGAACGTGATGTACAGTAGTGCCAGGCAACATCATCATTTTACCATCTGATGCATAGATGGGATATGTAAATCAAATGACTTGCTCTGTGCACTTTACTTTATTGTGATCTAACCTGCACGATGCTGATAGACGAATCATGAATCATCGAGGTTTCCTGAAAGTCATCAAACTCATCGATTCTTACAGACACCACCTAAAAGGCGTGAAGGAGAACAATGACTTTTCATCAAGTCGACATTTAGGATACAATAACAGAAACTGGCCCGGGTGGTGAAACGCATCGTTTCCCCGTCTAACCTCGGGGTGTTTGCGTCGCAGATGCCGGTTCATGGAAGCCCGCGTGGACACCTTGGTCCCACAGAGGTGACACGACTGGGCCTCCACCTTCTCGTGGGTCAGATGCACATGCTTCTGCAGCATGTACTCTGTCAGGTACTTCTTATCGCACGTTGCACATGTCCACGTCTTACCCACTGCGGTGAGAAAGAGGGAAACGGGATGAGACGGCCAAATTTGCACTCTACAGGTGGGAGCTTCTGACATTTACAGTTTTGACCTAAACATTTCCTCTCCCCTTAGACAGAACTCTTTGTTCCAGTCCTTGATGAAGAATAGAGACGTGCACAGAAAATCCATTTACCACATTACACCAGGGACACCAATCAAGGTTTACATTACATTCTTTATATATTTTGACTTATCTGGTAACTTTTTACTATCTTTTGTCAGTCTCTGGGCTGATTTCATTTTCCCCTCTATCTTCCCAACAACCCCCCCCCACCCCCCCAAACATGTTTTTATTCTGGCAGCATTCTGGCTCAGTACACAGTGGGGGGCAGGGCAAATGACAGGCTCCCATGTTCTGCTTGTAACTTTCTTACAATACTCAGTGTCGCAGACTGAGGAGTGGGCGTCAGTCTGGTGAGACACTCACCTGTGTGGATGAGCTTGTGTGTTTCTAGAGTCGTCCGCTCACTGAACGTCTTTCCACACAGCTCACACATGAAGTCCTTAATACCTACAGGCAGAGTGTCACGAGAATGTTACAACAAACAGTAACACCATGTACTTAAAGTAAAGTTTGCACTGTCGACGTCAGGGTGAAAAATGCACATTTATGCAGCAATCACATCTATAGTTGTGTCCATTTATGAGACCATTTATTGATTTTCTTACACATTTTGTGAATCTTTCAAAACACACTCATTTTGACTCACCCGTATGTCTCTTGTAGTGTTTCAGCATGTTGACCTTTTGGGCAAACTTGCGATTGCACGCTTTACACTCGTACTCTTTGATGCCCTTGTGAAGCTTCATGTGGTGCCTCAGAGCGTGCTTGGTCTTCATGCCTGCCCAGGCAAACATTTTGTCAATATGAATACGTATTGTATTTTCAACATTGTGAGGAGAAAGAAAAAGTAATGGCGTTTGACCTTTGCCGCATTCTGCACACAGGAAGTCTCGGATGTCATCGTGGACCCTGAGGTGCTCCTTCAACATGTCCTTCCTCGCAAATGATTTGTTACACTTGTCACAGCTGTGGCTCTTTACCCCTGGACGATCAAACAAACACAAATGCAGACACTCGATTGAAGTGAATGAAGAAAAAATGCTTGTCTGTGTGATATTATCATCTTGTGCAGATTATTTTTCTGTTACACGTCACAGCAAATATGTCAAGAGTTGTTTCTAATGTCGAAATATCACACTGCTCCTTCTCAGTCATAACTCTGAACACACAGATAGGATAAATGTCCATTAATGTGCTTAACAAAAATCATTAAAAAAAGACGCTCATTTTAAGTTCAAATCTTGCCCCATAATCTTCACATTTTCTTCAGTTTTAAAAGTGTTAAAGAATTTAAAAGTATTCAAGAGTGCCAGCTAATAGCCAATTCAGCATGACTTTTTAATGGTGCAAATTTGGAACATTGTAAAAGTATCAGCTAAGAAACAGGCCTCAAGGTGTAGCTTCCAGCTCACTCACTAACCCCATGGGAACCTTATACTTATAACATTATGTACTCAAAACATGTTTATGCCAAAGATAAGCAAGAGAAAGAACAACATGTGTGACAAATTCATTAATACTAGCTTTTCTGGTTAGTCAATAAATGTTTTGACATTTCTAAGGCTCTGCACGTCCTGTCGACGTGCTTCTTATATCCCTGGAACACCGACACTCTCGTCTATCTGTTCACATACAGGTATTTGCGAGTATCTCATGCAGGTTGAGCTGAGTGAACACCTGTCTAAGTCCCACACTACCACTGTGCTCCATGTAGGAACACTTTAAACCACACAAGAACATCAATCCCCAGGACACGACACAAACATTACATACAGAGAACCCAGGCTGTTGCTCACCAGTGTGGATGATCTTGTGCCGTTCCAGGTTCCCAATACTATTGAAGATTCGGCCACAAATTTCACATGGATGGATGTACCTTTAGGAGAGATGGGCAGATTTGAAATGATTACAGTTTTTACGGCTTCTTTTATATTTGAATTTCACTTTGAAATGACCTTTTATGCTTCAAATCAGACAATTTGCTTTTAGCCGCAGTAACTTAAGCTCTTATAGATCCA